GAAAATGGGGGAAAATCCCCCTGCTTTAGATATCACGTAATGTCAATGAGATCTAATATTTTCAATATTAAACAAAAATTAAAAAATTAAAAATCTAGCCCGAAAACTGCCTTTATTCGGCTGGATAAATACGGGTAGAAACAGAGCATCATTTGCGCTGAAGTTCCCTTTTTTCTACTACACTCCGTTCCTGGTCAGTGTACTAATTGTAATTTTAATAAAATTAGTACAAAGTCCAGGTCTTTTAAAAAACTCTAGGGCTGCCTCTTCGGTAAGATGGCGCCTCTCTAAGACCTGCCTCTTCTTAGTGATGAGGAAAAGGCCATAAATCCGTTGTTGTTTATGAAAATTTACAACTTTGCAATACAACTTTATGAGTTGTTCGGTTTTTCCATTGGTCGTTGTCGGTCATGTGGATGGTAACCGTGAACATGAACTTTTTTATAATTTCCCTTGCGAGAATAGAGCCGCATTCTTTTGCTGAGCTCTGTCCTGCTTCGGATCTCTCTGGCTTTCAATCCCCATTTCATTTGTTCTTTGTAAGGCAATAGTGAACAAAGTGTGCGGAGGTTCGGCATAAGCAGCCGCCTAGAACACAGATCCGGGATGGCAATTTCCAGTTCCCCCGCTGGAAGGTGTGGCATATTGGATTCAAAGCACCGGCGTGGCAGATTTTCAACTTGCAACCTGGCTAATTTCCTGCTTCTTCTGGCACCAAAAGGAGGGCGATTCGTCTCCTGTGCAGCCAAAGCGACAGCTGTCAAAGTCGCAGGGGCTCCTGTGAGCCAGAACCTAAAAGGTGAGAAATGTATATGACACTACTGTAAGCAGGGGAAAATGGTTTAATACGTTTAAATATTAGACATGTGTAATTAAACCAAATGGAAATGTTACCGGCCAAAAATAGAGGTGGCTGCAGCTCAGTTGATTTTGACTTAACCAGTGCATGCAAAAATATTCCTTAATAAAATGTCTATTTTATATGATTTAGCAAGGAAACTGTGGATTTTTTTTCATGAAGTTGATTTCTGTTTGCATTAGCCAGGAGGTTTGTTGTGACGTTCAGGTTATTTTGCAATAATTCAGTTTACAGCATCAATGAAGGGGTTTTTTTCCTATCAGGAGGAAAAAAAATATTAATATCCCCAAACATTTTTAATTAATTCGCAGCATTAAATTATTAACTTAAATTTCATTTGCGGTAGACGAACTTTAGATATTATTTATTTTTTTACTATTTCAGAAAAAAAAAACAACAAACCAAAAACAACCAAATCAGTAAACACAATGCCTCCTGGCTTCTGTGCCATGTCCAGGAGGAAGGTTATTTCTAGACGTGAGGAAACAGCGCGATTGTGTCTTAGATTTTCTTTATCAGATCAAGCGCTGCCTGCATAAATTTCGTGGCCCGCCGTGGGTCCCTTCCCGGCGCTTCCCGGCGCGGGAGGCTTGCGCGCCTCGGCTGCGCGGAGCGGGCTTCGCGGCAGCTAAACCCATTTCAGCGCCGGAGACGGAGCTTCCCCCCCCTTCCTCTCCTTGTTGTGACTGTTACGGTGCGGCGCTGGGGCGGGGGAGCGGCAGGCGGCGGGCCGGTGCCCCGCGGTGTGTGCCGGCGGGGGGAAGCGGGGACCCGGGGACGGCGCCCCGGGACCCCCCGCCGCTGCCGCGCGGCTCCGCTCCCGTCTCCTCACGGCGAAGGAGAAGCTCGGAGGCCTTTAAGCGACGGCCCCGGCTCTGCCTGTGCCGCCGGTCTGATAAAGCACTGCATTTGCATTGCATTGCGGTATCCGCCGGACTGGAGCTGCAGTGAGCGCCGGATTATTTATTGCGGGGCCGCGGGTGCTCAGTGCTGCCACGGCGTGGCGGGATGGCGGAGGCGGGCGCGGAGCGGAGCGGCCCCCGCAGCCCCTGGGAAGGGCAGCGCTGGCAGCCTGCGCTGCTCGGGGGAGCCCAAATAAAAGACCAAGAGGGGGAAAAAAAAAAAAAAAAAAAAAAAAGAAAAAAACCCCCTGGGCCTACCTTTTTCTACGGGAGCATCGGAGCTCGCCCCCGGGCAAGATATTCTGGCAGGACCGGCTCTGCCCACTCACCCTTCGCTTGTACCTCGGTGTGTGTCAACTGCAAGTTATCACGGTGGGAGCCGGTTGGGGAGGACCCGCCCGCGTCCCCCCGGCCAGGCTCCTTGTACCCCGCCACTCTAAACAACGGTCCGCCTTGCCCAAACTGTTTGGATTAGGAGCTATTAGTTAAAGGTTGGTTTTGATGACGCTGGCGAGCACGAGAATGATCTGAAAGTGGTTTTGTATACGAGGAGAAAGAGGCTTTTAAGCTTAAGAGGGTAACTACCCCCGCACCTGTATCCAAGAGTGGCTGGGGTCGCGGCCGGGTTTTCGGCGGGAGGAGGAAGGCGAAGTGTTTTGTGAAGAAGGTGATGGGGGTGCGGGGAATTACGAAAACAAATAAAAGGGGGATGAAATACACGGATGTCGCGAAGTGTGACTTTGTTGCGTTGTCAAAATGCAGCGGCTGGCTTGCTTTCTGCTTTCTAGAATGCGGGCGGGAACGGTGAAGGGAAAGCGCTGCGAAATGTGTCTGGGCAGGACATTTCCTCGGCAGACCTGGGGGGTAGCAGATTATTGTAATTCGGGGTTTTCTGGGGGTAGGGGGAGGAGCGGAAAGGACGCTTGAATGTGACTGAAGCGGAGATTGCAGTGCAGACGGTTTAGCTGTCACTGTAACTACTCTAACACGACTCAGGCAAACGTGCAGATTTCATGCATTTTCATATTATGGGATCAACGGAGAAATATTTTCGCTGCCTGCAGTGGGGCTTTCACAACTTGGTTTGGACGCAAGCAATAACTTGAAAAACGGGAAAGAAACAAAAAGAATCAGAGGGGGGGAAACAGTCTGTAACAGATGCTATAAAATGTAAATACAACTAAGCCTGGAGCGATTTTTTTATTTTAAATTCTGTTTTGGTCTGTATGATGGATTTAAATAGAAAACCGTCTGGTCACAACTTTTTAGAAGTAAGGCCAGTGGGTTTTGGTTGTCCTGAGTGTTCTTTTTTCATGGTACTTTTTCGTTCTGACCTGAGTTGGCGAAAATCTGCTCTTTTAAAAACCTCTTCGTATTTGCCGTGTTGTGTGTGCTTGATGGCTGGTGTTTCCTCCTTTTTAAACTCCATTCTCACTGAGTAAAAAACCTTTTTTTTTTTCCTCTGGAAAAATCTGTTTTTCAGGAAATACATGTTTCTGAAATGACCTCTCAAAGCATGCAGCTAGTGAGCTGTAATTCTACCAGGTGTGTTTATGGATTGGCTGGGCTCAAGAGGCTAAGGAAGTTTAAAAAAAATTGGAGGCAATCAACATCTGAATGTGAAAGTCCAGCTGAGACTGCAAACAATACAAACGATTGTGGAGCGATGTTTTAGCTCACTACTGTTTTATAGGTATCGTAATCTGCCCCCGGAAATGAGACAAATAGTCTCCCAACAAAAACAAAACTCTTTTGAAAGCTGCTTTAGGAAACGGGGCTCGTACGAATGTCACTTTCCGTGACAGAGCGCGTTTAAAATTAGGCTATTCAATCTGTTGTAATGGGCACGGATTATGAGTAAACACAGCTTGGAATGAACAACCTCATGTTATCTCCAGGAACTGCGCGGTTATGGCTGAATTAAATGCGCATCAGCGAATTTCATCTGCACTGTTACTGTCCGAGCCCTGGGCCAAGAATTATATTTCCGCTATGGGGTAACTGCCATATTGAAAAATGAAGGTGGAAATGTTTGTTTCGTGTATTGTTTTTCTCCTCTTAAGGGTACACATTCGCTTTTAATCAAATTATTCGGAGCAACAACCAAACCGATTGGCTTCTGCTGATTCAGTATTAGGGCTATATTAATTAGGAATAGTCCTACTGGCTCATTTTTTATTTTGAGTGTTTGATTCCCTCGGCTCAGCTCTGGCTGAAGCAGGGGTAGACTTGGGAAGAAGAGACACGCAGAACTTTAGCTGGGCTGCTGGGCGGCGCTGGGAGGCTGCCGAGCTCTTCTCGAGGCCTCCTCGGGCACTTGGTGCAAATCAAAAATCCCCCTCCCCAAAAGGCCACCGCCACGACCTCCGCGTTAATTATGGTGGTGTTCGTTAAAATACGGAACCTCTTCCATGCGGGACGGGTTAGCCTCTCTCACAAAAACTGGATTCGACACTGGGGCAGGCTCCCTGAGCTGCGAAGGGAAGCCTCAGCGGAGGGGCAGTTTTCGACTGAATGGATAAATAAACACGTTTTAGAATCTCCTAAAAATTCTTGGATGTGGTTGTGGCATCGCGATGGCAAACTGGAGAGAGGCCGCCCCCCCTCCGCCCCCCACGCTGCGTGGCGCTCCGCTCCCCCTTTCACGTGCTCCCTCCACTCTAAAGTTTCCCTCCGCAGCATCCTCCACCGCCGTCTCCTTCCTTCTCTCCCTCCTCCTTCCCTCCGCCGGAGACCCGCGGGCGGTTCGCCCACCCTGCCTGCGGGGCTGCGCGGCTGCCTCGTCGTGGGCCCTCCAACTTTTAAGGGCGAAGACCCCCTACACACACCTCCAGCGGCCGCGGGCGGGTCCCCATTAGCCGCTGTCACACTGCCCGCGCTGCCGGGAATTATCGCTATTATTGTTGTTATTATTACTGAATTATTTTTCCCGCGGAGGGGCGGCGCCGCCCCGGGGGCGCGGCCGGTGGCCGCGGCACGGCGCGGTGCGGTGCGGGGCGGCGCGGGGCGGCGCGGCGGGGCCGGGGCTGCCGGTAAGTTGGCGGCGCGGTGGCGGCGGCCCCGGGGGAGCGGGCGCCGCGCGCGCTCCCATTGGCCGCCCCGCCGTCAGCTGCTCCTATTTTCTGCTGTCGCTTTTGGCGCTCGGCCATCCAGAAACAAACCACTTCGATGACTCCTAATAGTTATCGCCAGATGTACTAATACACAACAAATCACGGTCCGAGAGAGGGGGAGAGCAAATGAGTTCCTATTTCGTGAATCCCACTTTCCCGGGGAGCCTACCCGGGGGCCAGGACTCCTTCCTCGGCCAGATCCCCCTGTACCCGGCGGGCTATGATGCTCTCAGGCATTTTCCGGCTTCGTACGGGGCAAGCAGCCTGCAGGACAAGACTTACACCTCACCCTGTTTCTACCAACAGTCCAACACCGTCATTGCTTGCAATCGGGCTTCCTATGAGTACGGAGCCTCTTGTTTTTATTCGGACAAGGACATTAGTAGCGCCTCTCCCTCCGGCAGTGGCAAACAGAGAGGGCCCGGGGACTACCTGCACTTTTCTCCCGATCAACAGTACAAATCCAGCGGCGGCCAAGCCAAAATTATAAATGACGAAGGTACCGACCGGAAGTACACGAGCCCTGTTTACCCCTGGATGCAGCGGATGAACTCCTGCGCTGGTAAGGCATCTCGATGCAATCAAGGGCGGGAGGGGGGGCAGGAGGGAGGAAAAGGAAAAGTTTCTTTTCTTTTCTTTTCTTTTTTTTTTTTTTTTTTTTTTTTTTTTTCTATTTTGTTTGTTTGTTCTTAGATAAAGTCCAGACTGCTGGAGAAACATGGTTCCTGCAGGGCAACATGTAACATGAAACCTTCCCAGGTTATTTTAGACCTGGCACGTTGGCACCTTCGGAACGGTGGCTGAGATCCCAGTTTGTAGGTTCACTGTAGAAAGTTACTGGGGAATCCTTAGAAGTAGGGTAAAAAAAAAAAAAAGAGATAAAAAGGAGCAGAGCAGTTTTACCACTCTCTTAAAGCCACCCCAAAGCCTCTGCTCTGCTGCTTCATTGTCAGAGAGAAATGCAAGGAATATGCCCTCTGTACTGAGGATCCAATGCATTTGTGGCACATTCCTCCTCGCCCCCCTCCCCCAGCTCATTAGCCTGTGAGTATTGGATATTGAGAGCACGTTTCTGAGGCCGTGAGCGCACTTCCATGGCATTGTGATTTTTTTTCTGAATTTAAGAGTAAACTGCACATAATTGAACTATTCTGTACAGGAGTGGTGCTGGGGGCTGGGAGTGGGTTGGGAGGGTTGTACTGGAGTGGCACGTATTTTTTATAATCCCATATTAAGACGTTTACTTCCAGCGTTTGCTAATGACTCCCCTCTTCTCCCATCCTCCCGAGTTTACGTTTGCTGAAGGGGAGATCGCATTTCTTTTTTTTGGAAAGTTAAACTTTTAGCAAGACCATCCTGATGCTGCTTTGCATTCGAGAGCAATAAATTCTAGAGCAAATGGCAAAATGCTCTTCTATGATCTTTAGCTGATGTCTATAATCATACTTAAATTAGAGACCCTCTGTAGTCACAGCCGTGGCAATGGCTGCGTGTTTGTTTCAACACACCCGCATGTGCGTGCACACACATAGGCGCAGACACATGAGGCTTCCCGGGTAGCACACGTGTGCGTGAGTCTGTGTGTGTGTGCGCGCACAGGCTGCCAACGCGCAGGGAGTAGACGCTGCTCAGTGATTCACACGGGTGCTACCTACTGCCCTTCCCCTAGGTCTACCTTAAAGCCTCTTTGTATTCCACTTACCCCACTACTGTAAGCACGCTGCACATCCGCATTTACAGCTAGGCAGCCAGGAGAAAAAGAAAACAAGGGGAAAAAAAAACCCTCCAGGAAACCAGAGCAGCTTCTCCCCCTCCCCGTCATTGTGCCTCCAAAAGGAGGCAGAATATACTAATCGTTCTTTCTGGTCTGAAATCACTGGGCCCTGTCCAATGCGATCGTTTTGTCTTTACTTCTACAGGTACAGTATATGGAACACATGGGAGACGAGGGAGGCAAACTTACACCAGATACCAAACGCTAGAGTTAGAGAAGGAATTTCATTTTAACAGATACTTAACCCGAAGACGACGTATTGAGATTGCAAACGCTCTCTGCCTTACTGAACGCCAGATTAAAATATGGTTTCAAAACAGGCGGATGAAATGGAAAAAGGAAAACAAATTCATAAGTTCCACACAGCCAAGCAGCGAAGAAACAGAGGAAAAGTCAGGGGAGTAGAACCACTTTTAATAAACGCTACCAGGCCTTTCCTTAGCACTTACTACTATTATTATTTACCTTGTGTTCCTTCTGCTACTGAAATCCTATAGGTTTGTCACAGTCTATTAATCCCCAAAAGGCTTGTTTAAAAGATGTACATTTGCAATCATCTGTGACTTACTTTAATATATGTGGAAGTCCTAGCTTTTGAGCTACAGGCATGTATGTATATAATCACCTTTCCAAAGCATATGGCGTTGCCTAAACTACTAGAGAATTGGCCCAGAATTTTAAATATTTGAGGTGAGCATCTATGTGTGGGTGAGTGCCCCCGGTGTGCTTGTGCGAGGAAAGATAAGGGAATTTTTTTTTTTTTAATTATAAATGTTCTTACTGTAGAAAGACAAGAGATTTTAGAAAATATCGGGTTTATGGTTTTGCTAGCTCCCGCTAAGTCTGACCATCTCGTTATGCTGTGTTTGGGAGTTTATGATCTACAGGGGGGAAAAAAGTTTTAGTTATGTATAAGATATTTAAATAGCAAAAGGAAGAAAAATCCTTTTAAAAAAATCGTTGTATAAATCCCTGTATATAAACTTGAAGTGAAGATGAATTGCAGGGAGATTTTTTTAAAATGCCCCTAAACTGCTTAATCTGCACTACTAGTATTAAAGCAAAAACTCGGCGTTAAACTTCAGGGGAAGCGAGGGAAGAGGTTTTGAAGTGGGAAAATTTCTGTGGTTCCCGTTGAGCTTACATTGAGGTTTCAGTGAGCTCAGCTCTACACTGAAGGGGCTTTGAATTATGGACTACATTTCTTGGGGCTTTGTGGGCTTAGATCCATCTGTTTTTCCTTGTTTTAAAAATATTTCTTTCTTTCTTTCTTTCTTTCTTTCTTTCTTTCTTTCTTTCTTTCTTTCTTTCTTTCTTTCTTTCTTTCTTTCTTTCTTTCTTTCTTTCTTTCTTTTTTCTTTCTTTTTTATTTAAAGAAAAAGTCTTATTAACTCGGAGGATATTTTTCTCCGCTTCTGTGGTATTTTAATGCACATTCGCATTTCTTAGCACTGGAAAAAATAAATTGATACTCTGTAGAAAAATACCTGCCATAAAATGCTTCCACTTCTGTAAAAGTAAAATAAGCTCAGCGAAAATATTGATTAATATATACGTTATATCTCTCTATATTATATTGCGTGTGCATGAGTATGCGTGTGAAACTGTGTCCAAATGCACTTGTATAGTCATCGAGGCTCTTTTGTTTGGAAGGCAGCACAGTTTGGGCTACTGCTCTAAATATATAAAAAGCCAGACCTGAAGAACACCAATGCACAATGGCTACCGCCGCATTTAGAGAGTTATTTTCCTTTCGAGAGGCGATAAAATAACAGCGGCCGCAAAGTCGCTTGGAATTTTACTCCCTAGCTGGAAAAACGCTGCACGATATTTATCTTTCATAGGTACCTGCCATTTCACATCGGCAGGACCCGGCTGCCTCTCTAAAGCTCCGGCACGGGAGTAAGTGGGGAGGGGAAATTATATATATACCTATATATGTAGAAGAGACATAAGCGTTGTCAGCTCCCGAGGACGGATCCTATAGGCTTTGTGAACTGGTGTAAATAAGCCTCGCACGGAGGAGAAGGCAAGCACAAAGCTCTCTCCACTCCGAGCTCTCCGGCGGGCGGGTCGGAGGAGCAATTCCCGCCGGCCCCGCGGCCTCGCCGCCGGTTGCCGATGCCGCTGGTGGCGGCGGCGGCACCGGGCGCGGTGGCGGCGTGGCCCGCTCCGCTCCGCTCCGCGCCTCTCCGCTCTGCTCCGCGCCGCCGTCGGGGGCCGTCACCCCGGGCCGACCCCGCGGAGCCGCCGCCATCCCCCGCGCCGCCAGCGGGTGGCGCTGGAGGCCGGCGGACGGGCGGGCGGCGGCGGCGGCGGCGCGCACGGGCGGCGCGCCCCGGGCCGCCCGCGCCCTCCCAGCTCCCCCACCAGTGCACGAGTTTACCTCTAGAGGTCATCAGGCAGGATTTACGACTGGACAACAAAAGCACGTGATGTGAAGCCGTACCCCATATTTGGGTGCCTACGTAGGAGGGAACCAAGTACATGTCCCAGTCATTTCCATAATTCATCATAAATTGTGCAAGGGTGCTATAGACGCACAAAACGACCAAGAGCCACAAATCAAGCACACATATCAAAAAACAAATGAGCTCTTATTTTGTAAACTCATTTTGCGGTCGCTATCCAAATGGCCCGGACTACCAGTTACATAATTATGGAGATCACAGCTCGGTGAGCGAGCAATACAGGGACTCCGCCAGCATGCACTCCGGCAGGTACGGATACGGCTACAATGGCATGGACCTCAGCGTCGGGCGCTCTGCTTCCACCCACTTTGGTGCCAATGAGAGACCCCGCAGTTACCCGGCCAACACCACCTCTGCCTCGACAGAGCCCAGGTACAACCAGCCCGCGACGTCTTCTCACTCGCCTCCCCCTGACCCTCTGCCCTGCACCGCCGTGGCCGGTTCGCCTGTCAGCGAGAGTCACCACGGGGTGAAAAACTCCCTCGCCAACTCCACCAGCACTTCGTCCAATTCCAGCAGCAACACGCACATCAGCAGAGACGGGGTTGGCACCTCGTCTGGGACTGAAGAAGACACTCCAGCAAGCAGCGAGCAGGCAAGTGCCCCGACCGACCAAAGCACAGCCCAGCCTTCACAGCCCCAGATCTACCCTTGGATGCGAAAACTGCACATAAGTCATGGTAAAGCAAATACCCTGTTCTTTCTTTATTTCTCTGGAGGAAAAGGAGGATTTAATGTAAACCGGGTGGCTGCGCCGAGCAAGGTCGGGGAGAGAGGGAGAGGAGGGCGTGAGAGCGGGCAGTCTCCGCACACGCCACAACTCTGCTCGCAGGGAAGCACGCTCCCTTCTCTGGGCGAGTCCCCCCGAAAGGAAAAAAACCTCCCGGCCCCAAACCCACAACCCGTCTGGCTCCCAGCGCCGGCGGGGGAGCAGAAGGCGCCTTGCCGAAGGGGGATCGGGAGCAGAGGCTGCTCCCGGCTCTCCTCTGGATGGGGGATCTTCCAGAGGGAACAGCGCGGCTGACCCCATTTATTTTGCTGAGACATATTAAATAGAGAATAGGAGAGGGTGAGAAGGGCAGTTTTCAATGCTGGGAAGCCGGGGGGGCTGGGGGAAGGGCGAGTCGCCCCAAACTCGGGGGAGAGGGCTTGAGGGGCGCGGGGAAGTGAGGCAACTTTCAGCCCCGGGTACCTGCCCTGCTCTCGCTGCTGGGAGAGCGGCCGGGAGTTCGCTGCCTCCCAGAGCCTTCCCCAGCTCAGCCGTGGGAAAGGGCTGAAAGCTTTGCTCTCCCAGCTCTGAAAACCCAGCTAGCAGCAGAGACATCTTCCAAAGCAGCTTATCTGGGGGAGGCGTGGGGGGAATTAACCTTCGGGGGGAGAGGGGGAAGGAAAACATTCAATTTTAAAAAATCGAACCACAAATCCAAGCGAAAACTTACCGAGACTACCAAATCCCCCTCCCCCAAGCCTTTCCTTAGAGGGGCTGGAGGGGGAAACTTGTTGAGCGTTTATCCAAAGCAGAAACAAAACCAAGCAGGACTGAGAATAACGGTCCTGGTCACTGGTAGCTGCAATGAGACACGAAGGCTCCGAGTGGCTGCTGAGAATCTAAATCATGTACTTTTCTCTTCCAGACAACATAGGGGGACCAGAAGGGAAAAGAGCTCGGACTGCTTACACCCGCTATCAGACCTTGGAGCTCGAAAAGGAATTTCACTTCAATAGATACCTGACCCGCAGAAGAAGGATTGAAATAGCACATGCTCTTTGCCTCTCAGAGAGACAAATAAAGATCTGGTTCCAAAACAGGAGAATGAAATGGAAAAAGGATAATAAGCTGAAAAGTATGAGCATGGCAGCTGCAGGAGGGGCATTCCGTCCCTAAGCGTTTGATCAATTAAAAGTACTGAGCAGTATTAGCTGACCCTGCGTCGTCTCATGTCAGTACTAAGTTGACTTTCTAAAACTTCCTTGTGTTACTTCTGTGAAGAAACCCTGTTCTTGTCGCCCTTATTCATCTTTTAATCATGAGCCTGTTTATTACCATTCTCTCGCGTGTATAAGTAGATCTGCTTTTATCGTACATTTCTTTGTCTTGAATGGCTTTGTCTTGAAAAAAATAATAGATGTTTTAACTTATTTATATGAAGCGAGCTGTGTTACTTGAAGTAACTGTTAAAACAAAACAAAACTGAACAAAAAAGAACAAAAAGAAAAAAAAAGAGAAGTTAAAAAAAAAAAGGAGAGAGAGAAAGAAACCCTCCCCCGGTTTAGTACAAATGTTATGTGTTGCACTCAACCTGCTTAACTGTGCATGTGTGGTCAAGTGTTAATGTCTGTATAGCTCCAAGCTGTTAAAAATATTTTTATTCAAACTACCTATATAATTCCTGTGTAATTAATGCTGTTGTAGAGGTGAAATGATGAGATCAACTGAATTTGTCCTGCGTGTAGTGAATAGTGAATCTGTGACGAAAACTGTGATTCCAAGCAGTATGTCCTTGCTGTGCCTTTGTATATGACTCTTTGCACGAACTCTTAGAAGTGGCTCTTATTAAGCGCAGCTTCTGTGATGTATGTTTTTTGTGAACAAAGTTACAATTATAGTCAAAGTCTGGCTGTTTGAGCAAACTGTGATCAGCTTTTTTTTTATTATTATTATTATTATTTGTTTTTAAAAAAAACTGACTGGAAATCAACAAAAAAATAAACTTTCTATTGTAAAGTTTTCGTGATCTGGTTTGTGCAAAGCAAGAAGTTGTGCTTCCAGATTTGCCTCTGAAAAAAAAAATAGCCCGTGCAGAGTTTGTAATAATATTTTACCTGGCTTCTGCTGCACGTTGCAGATGGTGGATGCTGCAATTGTCCGCTACCAGTATTTTTAATTGAAAGTTTGACCGTAAGTTCTTCCTTACTGGTTTCTCCCTAGGTGGAAAGCTGCATCGCAGGACCACAATCAACACTCTTTGTGAGTGAATCAACTGTTAGCTGTTTGCTGATGGTTAAAAAAAAAAAAAAACCAAACCAAAAAACATGTGCTTTGTTAAAACACTGCTAATGCCAAGGCGTGTTTGCATCGCTCTAGAATTTCTCCTGTGGTTTCATTAAGTATATTTGCAGGACAGCCACGTCTGAGCCCTCTGCGTCTATCAGTAACCCTCTCTAGCCACATTCCCACTCTTCACCCTTTAAAGATTTTTGATTTTCTTTGCTACAATTAGTTTGCTATAAACGTAATGTTACTTACCCCATCAGAGCTTGAATGGTTAACTCTTCTGAGCTTCTAAGAGCAACTAAAGATTTGCACATTTACTGACTGGTTACATTGATGCCTTCCCTTAAAAGTTATAAAACAGTAAACTTTATAAGCCCCAGTTCCGGCTATATGACATTTGGGTGCCAAATGAATAGGGTTTTGTCTATGAATTAGATCGTAAAATCATCCATAGCACAGACAGATAGGCTCACTGGCTATAAAAAGTCACGTGGTGCCATTAAAGTAAGTTTTATGGTTTTGGGGAGTTGACATCCAACATTATATACCACATAACATATAATCTCACTGACGCTGGACTTCATTTGACTCTTTTGCAGGCTACGTGTGCCTCCTGGCCATTCAAATTGTCAGGTTTAGGGACAGAAGTATCCAAACCACAAGTTCTCAGTACTATATGAAAAATGGCTCCTTGCAAGTCAAAGGTAAGTTTTGTGCACAAGTTCCTTAAAGTTTATTTGTACAGTGAGGAAGCCGAGGCTCCCTCTCGTTCTCGCTGCCTCTCGCCTCTCTTTCTTTCTCTTTCTCTTTCCCTTCCTTTCTGCCTGGAGCTTTTCAGGATGGTCCCACCGAGCCAGAGAGGCAGGATCAACCACTAATGATCCAGGTTGCCTGCAAATTCCGCCCCCCCATCCCTTCACTCGCAGCAGCTAGCTCTCTATTTTAACGATCAAATCAAAGTAAACCACAATAAGCGACTTTGGCAGAGATGGATTTTGGGGCCTAGCTTTAATCACTTTGACTACCACAGAAGATAATTACTTCCTTTGCTCCGATAGACTCTCCAAGTTTGGAGAGGTTTTGTTTAGCAAAGAGTAGTTACTGAAGGTGATTAAAAAAAGGGGGAAACAAAATAGATGGGGCTTGATATTATCTGGGCTGTATCTTATAAGGGCATGATAGAGTTGGAGGCGTGATGATATGGTAATAATCCTTGGATTGGTGAAATATGTTGCACATCAGAGATAGTATTAAAATGGCACAGACTGTACTGGAGTGCTTAGATACATATTTTCTGCATTGGGTTGTGCAGAAAGCTTTAACTACATGTCTATGTCCATCTATGAGTGCGTACTGTGTTTTATGGATGCGCATTTATAACATTGCTGTAACTTTTTCCTGACCCTATATACAATTGTATAAATATATTTAAATTACATGCATGTGTGCTTGCATGTACCTATCGGTCTATATGTCTGTGTAAAGCCGTGCAAATGCATATATGTGTCTAATATTGGTGTAGTTACATATACAAAGGGTGTGTACGTGTGTATACATATACATGTCCCTGTGACTTTTTTTTAAAGCAAACCAATTGACTGTAACTTGTAGCATTAATACAAGAGACTACAGGTCATTAGAGTGCTGCAAATTATGAAATACGGGCTTGGTTTATTGAAGATTGTAAATATCCCCCTAGCTCTGCTCTCTCTCTTTTTGCCTTATATTGCTGGCTGCCATTGTGGGGTAGGCCCCAGCTGCATGTTTACTTCAACATTCTTTTTATTTAAGTGGACTGTTCTCACTAGAGTGTGATTACTCAGCAATAAACTTTATGGCCGGATTTAACTTTAGTCTTTGAATTTCCAGGACTTGAATGAAAGGGTGAAAGGAACTCTATCTTTCTCTGGGTAACATTAAGGCCTGATCCTTATCCTCAGAGCTGTTACTTTGGCGAGTGATCTCAGGGGGGTGCAAACTGACTAGTTGGGGGCTAGGGAAGAGATTTGAGAATTGCCTACAATCTCTCTCTCTCTCTGTATATATCTATATATCTATCTCTCTTTCTCTCTATATATATATCTATCTTCAAACCAACTGTGGGTATCTCTTTCTCTGCTCAGTTACTCCAGTGTTTGGAGTAACATTGATTCAGCACATTGCATTGTTTTCCTTTATGTGTCATAAAGTTCGGTTTGCAAAAGAACAGCATGGTATGATGTGAGAGATGGGCTTTGTTTTATTTTGCTAGTGCTATTCTGCTTGAATATTGTGGTTTAGGCTGGTTTTGCTACTGCAAGCAAAAATGAGAGAAAGGCACAGGGGCACAGGAGGGTGAGGTTGTTGTGTACCTCTGCAAGGTCTGCACATTGCTGTCTGATTCCTATTTTTAATTTGTCTTTAACTTCAAAGAAATGGTAGTATATAAGGTAGGTTCATCTCAAAGATCTCAGTTTTACAAATATTTAATATTTAAAGTCACCCCTTGTGTAAGATAAATGGAGTCTGAAGCCTTTGTGTCTGTCTATCCTTCCTATGAACACTAAACAAACACATCTGCATATATTTTATATTAAAAAAATGGGAAAGGCTTTAAAAGAACATATCCAAATGCACATTTGAAAATCATTTCCGTTATAAACAGCTGGAGATTTTATAGTACACTAGCTGTCACATTTTCATCAATAGGAATACCAGAAAGTTATATATGATAGGTGTGCATTATATTATACTATATGTCATAAAATTTTATAGTTTGAGGCAAGGCACGAAAAACCTTTAAAAGTTTGAGCTTCATTTATTTGTGGGTCCTTTTGCTAGGAAAATTATTTGCTTGTAGATGGGAATTATACTAGACACAAACAAGTCACGATTTCTCAGTATTCAACAACACTGCATTATTTGAATTAGCTGGTGAATATACAAACACACACGCACATCCGTTCAGCTAATATTTTAGGATGCTGGATTCCATCGTAGACTGTAACTTTTAATTGTTTAGAGTGAAAATATTTGCTACTATGTGTTTTCTACATTTCTGGTTGTGGCTTTTGGAGCCTATTCCACGGAAAGCAATGTACAGAGATTCAAGAATTATGGAGAAGAAAAATATCCCCAAGCCCAGAAGCATACAAACCCGCCCATACTGCAAGAAACACTAACAACAAAAGAAAGTTAGATAGAAATGACAACTTCACCGTATTTCTGGCCCTGCCCTGTCCTAAGAAGCACAGTTGAAACCATTCAAATCCAGAAATGCATAAAGATTTCCTAGTCCGCTTTGAAATTTAAAATTCAAACGAGCTCAGACTGCCGAACTCTATGAAAATAGTCCCAGGTCCGAATCGTTTTCCGAGGGAAAATGTCATGGGGAATTATCGCTGGGAATCAGGAGAGAGGTCTTAACTGCACACGTTATTTTTCTGCTGTATTTGGAGGATTAATGCGTGGGAATTTGTTCTACCTTAGGCATGGCAAGTTGCGTTCTGTGATTTGAAATATAGCTTGCCTAATCCTTTGAAAGAAATACTTGCGTGTAGTGTCTCATGTCTAAGCGTAAGGCCAATTAAAGATTAGGCAGCTCTCTTAATGTGCGTAACTGGTGACTTTGCAAGACATAACTTTCTCTAAACCAGAAGTATAACAATCCAATGGAAAGTCATCCGTAAATTACAGCTCTGCAGTCTTGTCTAAACCATGCAAACGCCCTAATTGTAGAACATTACAGGGAAATTATTATTCTGCCATTTCCTTACATTTAATAAGTGTGTATCTGTGGAAGGGTGACAACAGAGGGGTTTGCAAACTGCTTCATGGGAAATTGAATGGAACAGATCATGAGGGGCGGATCAGGAGGTTTCGATTTCAAACCCTGGATCCTAGAGCAATGTTTTTTCCCGCCCCACATATACAGACTTAAGGCATGAAACGCGGACATAAGTAAATCTCCTGACCAAGTTATCGCTTGGCTTTCTCAGTTCTTTCTCTTTCCTGCCCTCAAAATCTTCCCGATTTGAGACTAGAGTTGCTAGCCAGAGCACAAAACCACGGCTCCCACAGACGTCTGATCATCTTTGAAAATATTATCCCCTTCAAATTAAAGCATCCCCACTAATGTCTCTCTGGAAGGCAGATACTCATGGACCACCCCAGTCACATGTTCCTGTAGCTGCACGCACAAACGCTA